CTCCACTGTTCAGCAACACTCCCCAAACGAACCACATCGCTTCGCCAAAATTGACACGATCGTTAGCGACTTCATTCAGAAAAGGATCATCCGCAGCCATACGGCTTTTATCAATCTGCAAATAAATGTGTAATGTGTATCATGATATCAGGTACATCTCCTTACTCACCTTATAGAAACGATCAAAGGGTGACTTTAAATCCAGGCAAAATATTACTAAGCCAACCATGATCACGGAAATTAGCAAAGACGTCCAAAGAGAAGATTTCAGTGGCTGCAGAAATGACTGCATAGGAGAGTCACGAGGAATCTGAGCAGCAAGTTAATATGAAAATGTTCTCGCGTATAAAACTACTATTTACCGATTTTTCCAGGATTCGAATTCCGTGATACAACCATGGTTCGGAAAAGTCAATGTACCTTCAAAATTGAGTAGCAGTAAAGAGAAAACAAGTTGTAGTTCTAAACTAATAAGCACAATCTATGGATAATCTTGCAGACTAGGCTGACCTCGGATTTTCAAGAGCTGTAAGCATCAATATAGAAAGAAGATTTTTTACCATATTCAAACCTTTCTTTAAGGAAGAAGACAGCGGCAGGTATCGTGATCAAGCACGCATATTGAGAACAACGATTGTTTGAATCTAGCTTCTGTGCTTATGTACAAATAATCAAAAAATATCCTCTTGTCGTCAGATATCTAGCCATTCAAACCCTTTATGCGGTGAATAGCTAAAAGTGTCTGCTATCTCAATTGAAACAGATGCGAGCGGGATTAGAATCAACTAAATCAAACATTGTTTTGTATTTTGAAAGCGTGTGACATGATTCCTGAGAAGAAAGTCCCAACCCTATTTAGAGCAACGTTGGAACCGTGATTAAGACTCAACAAATGAAATACAAGTTGCTGGTTTTAAAATAAAAAAAGAAGATAAGGATACAAACTATTCTCTAAATATTATTAGAGTACAAACTTTTCTCTTTCGGGATTAATAGTCATGCCTCCAATAGCAATGTCGGCTTGATCGCTGTCCAGTTCTCCTAATGCTCCGCTAAGAATATAGCCCTAAAAACGTCTCTAAATATTGTGATTCGTGTAGTGATTTGCCAGACCTTTTCTCCGAGTGTTACGGCTCCATAGCTTTCATTCAAATGTAGGGAAAACGTGAAGCTAGTGTCAATTGTGGTGTTAGGCTGGAAATGGCTCATTATAATCCTTAGAAGTGATCGATATTACACTTACCTCTGGTAAGGATATGTTCGACAGAAGATCAATCGCATATCCTGCGCAGCAATAATGATATGTATAGTTTAGAGTGTACTTTGGACAAGGATACCAAGGACCTCTCTAGAAAAAAGAACAACATTCTCTAATTCGAATAAAAGCTTTGCTGCTTACGACTTGGATGAAGTCGGAAGAGCACAGCTTGACCGAAACAGTTCCAAGATTTTTGCACTCGGCAAGTGAGATGATAGGTGTAATGTAGATAAACGGAGGATCGTTAATGGTAACGGCACGAAGATGCTTAGGCAGAGTAATCTCCAACGGCTTACGACCGCCTCCTGTCCAGTGAATAGAATCCTCCGCCAATTTTAAGTCGGAACCATGCTCAAATATTCTATTAATAACTGCGCACTTCTTCTGCTTTTTTAGGAATACACTAGAATGTAGACTCTTTGTATGAGAACTGTTTCCCTATGGGGGGACTACCACTTATGAATGAGTCCTTGTGGCTAAGAAAATGATTTTTTTACCTTCAAAAGTGCAGAATCACTTGGATTGAACACTAATCAAAATGCTGCTATCAACCTATTTGTTGATGACTGGTCTTTGGAATGTTTAAACAAAAGCAGCGTAAAAACTAAGTTTTATTCGTTTTTCTAGTCGTTTTAAGAGTGATGGCGTAGCTGTTTGCATTCTCGTTTATTACTCACAGCTAATGACCAATTATGAAGATGTACAAACACTTGTAGACTGATTCGTTTAGGAAAGCAAGGAATTTACTTTAGTTTAACTCATGCACTAAATGCGAATGCGCATAGATGAACGTACCAGCACTCCGACTTCTTTATATCCATCGTTGAAGTTGAGGATATCGTAATCTACGCTGACTCTTTCGCAACGATCATTGAAAATGATTTTGCTCGTTGAAGTTGAGCAAATAGCCCTGAATCCTTGTGTAAAGAACTAAATTAGGGTCAGTGGTAATTTCTTGGAATTGAAGGAATTTTTGAAGAGGAGAAAGCAAATGAGTGCGTACATCTGCCTTGAGTTCCTAGAAAGTTATATTGAATGTCTAAGTATTTCTAGCTACTTGCTATAGGTCTAGTGAAGAAGAGAGTGCACGAGAGTCACAATTTATTTATTTTCACTACAACCGTGGGAAATTCTCGGTTCACACCGGTTTTCTTCAAATTCGTTTTCTAATACTTTATCGTTTATCTCCATTGCGATTGCGCATATGTTTTTATTATGCATTATTACCCGTTTGCTAGAAGGATACGAGATAGGAATCTGATATGATAGGAATATTATAAGTAAACAAACTTCTTTAATTAGTCCAAGTATGTAAGTGGCTGAATTGATCAAATCTTGTAGCAGTTAGTGTTTACCTGAAGAACTGCGGTCCATGATCAGTTGTCCATTTCACGTTGACGCTGTCCTTTCCACATCCGGAGGGTGGCTGAACTGGCTCATCAAAAGAGTCCAAGTACTCCAAACCACTTTTTATAGATGCAAATGAGCTTCGAAGAGCAGAAAGAGGCGTTTGACTGAGACGGCTTGCGATTGCACCTAAAATTGTGTCTTTCTCATATCAATAGAACACGAAATCGCTGATTTGCTTAATGTGAACGATTTAGCGACAAATTGACAATAATTGTACTATCACACTACGTAACTAATGTTGTTCTGCATCACCATACGTGACAGGCGCAATATCAAATGATAAGGTATTAAACATTGCTTTCGTTAAAGATTGTGTATAAAGTATCTTTGTTAT